TGAATAATATTCTATTGCAGGTATACATCAGTTTATTTTTCCATGTATGAACACTTGGGTTGCTTCGACATTCTAGCTATTGTGAATAATGCTATTATCAACATGGGCTTATGCATATTGCTTCAAGACTCCTTTTTCAATTCTGTGGGGCATATACTCAGAATTGGACTAGTAAATCATATGGTAATTCTATTGTTAATTTTTTGAGGAATGACCACACTCTTTTCCACAGCACTATACTATTTTATTTTGCCACCAACAGTGAATAAGGCTTCCAATTTTGCCAAATCCTCTCCAACAGGTACTTTCCATATTTTGTTTTGCTTTTAGATTGTAGCCATCCTATTGGGCATGAGGTGGTGAGGGAATATACTTTTGAGCATTTTGCTTATAATATTCTTATAATTTCTTTTCCTGTGGATTCCATGAAGCATTGTGCCCTGGGTCTTTTGTCTTCTCCGTCTTTGCTCTTCCTCATCAGCATGAATGTTGCCAAGGTAACATCATCTGCATCATCCATCAATCAAGGATGAAAATGTTCTATAACCTGTGTTATGGAGCACAGTAACTACTAGCCATATGTGTTCATTAATAATGTAAATCATACTTAATGACACTGAAATTTCTAAACTTATTTATTTTTAAAATTTATTTTGAATATGTATGTGACTAGTTGTTAATATATCAAATAATGCAATTTTAGATCTTACTTCTTCCTGAGCTCCAACCTCATGTATCCAACTGCCTGCCTCCTTGACATATCTGCCTAGATGCCCAATAGCACCCAAAATTTCACATGTCCAATATCAAATTTATTATCATTTTCTCCAAGTCAGCTCCTAAGGAATTCAATAATAGTGATTTTTCTCAAGATAGAACTATTCAAATTATCCCTTAGTTTTCATCCTGCTTCATGTTCCATATCCAGTACACCATATATCCTGTCATTCAATCCTAAATATTTCTCTCATATCTGTCTTTTGTTTTCTCAGACATTACCACTAACAATCTGCTCTTTAAAGAACTCTCAGGGGAAACTTATTGACGTTAAAATAAAGGTGAAATTTCTTAAATTCCTCAAATATTGCTTCTCTGGTAAATTCTTCAGATCTTCTAGTTGGGAGCAAGACTTCAATCTTCTTCCCTCCCCAGTCTTTTCCATATTACTATCACCCACTTTAGTAGTGTGTTATGCTGAAATGACTTGCTTAAATGTTTACTCCTTTGGACTTACTCCTGTCTTAATTGTTTTTGGACTTCAGGAGTTTTGCTTCATCCTTGGCTTAGAGTAGTCTACTAGAATGCTTAGATAGCTAATAACAATTTGTGAGCTAAATGTTGAAGATTTAGAAACATAACTAGAGAATTCCTAGGTGTAGAAGGAGAAATAAGCCTATCTCAGAACATAAATCCATGGTGATTTTTATTCACTTATTAAAGGATTAAGCAGCTAAGATTTATATTGGTATTTCAATCATGTTCAGTCTTTGGAGGAATTAGTTTGGCTTCTATGATAATTTTCTTAAATGCTACTTTTTAAGGTAATTATAGAGGATAAGAAACCATCTTCAACATTGATGCAGCATGTGTTGTCCTTCGGCAACTTTATCTGTACCAGCTGACTGTCCCTGAAGCCGTGATGGATCACACCTTTGGCATCAATACTGAGACTCATTTATTACTTTCATAGGTTCCAAGCTTTATATCAAAGAGACAAATGCCAAGATAAATTCAAACTGTGTAAAAAAAAAAATGTTTCAAAAGAACTATAGAACAACATTGGAAAACTATTCACTAGGACTCAGAGCTTATATTCCATGTATGAATGTGGTGGTTTCTTTCTTTCTCTATTTTTTTTAATTCAAAAAAGCACCAACAATAAATTATTAACTTTTCAACACTTAGAAATTGTAATTTGACATAAATCATATTTATGGTCTACAATAAAGGTCTAGAATGTGAAGTTACTCAACTGGGAAAGGATAATAGATCACACTACATGAACATTTATATTAGGTGTATATATTTATTGTATTTAATTAGATAACAAAATATGTGATTGCATTATGGTCTTGTGCATCCAATTAAAACTTATTGCAAGAAATAAGGAATTGTATCTTCAATATTTCAATTACTTCTGATTCTTCTTAATGTTTCAAAATTGGCATATCAATAATTGTACTTGATCATTTTACAAAGTGCTTCTTATATTTCATATCATTTGTTCATAATTGACAGTGACAGAATTTATACCTAGTTTGATTTTATTCAAATTCCAGTGCACAGTGCTATTTCTACATCACACTACTATGTAAAGTAAGAGTGTACAAATTTGTATGATACTGTGATAATGTCACTATTATCCTTACTGAAATAAAATATTCTAAAGAACTCAACCCTTCAAATTAAATTTTATACTCGCCTCTACATACTGACTTATCAATATTCTCAGCATTTAATAAATTAGTTTAGTTGTATGCCTACATATATAATTTGCTCTTTTTTTCTTTAAAGCAAAATCTGCATTTAAAAAATGCAGGTAAGGTCCTACTTTGAAGATGTTTGTAGCAGTATTTTTAATGTATTAATAATTATACTCAATTATATACATATTGCATTTCCCAAAAAAATGTATTCATCATCTTTTCAACTTCACAGAATGTTAGGAAAGCCATTGTAAGTATGCTTCCTTATAAAGTAAAATAAAGTTCTACTAAATAATGTAACAAGTTGGTAACCAAGATGTAACTAAAATCTATGTTCCATAATTCCTAGTCATGCACTCTAGTAAATCCCTCTATATTTACACTTTTATTTTATTGTTGACCAAAGAAAATTTGAACTTACAACAAAATATTATCAAATATTTCTTTTTATGATTCCACAAGTTATTCTATTGCTGAAATAGGACTGAACTTCTGAAGCACAATTTCTTCCTCTGGCTTGTCTGTAACATGAGTGTTTACCATATGTAAACATGATGACTGGGGAAAAGAATCAATAGTATATATGTATATATATGTATACATATATATACATACATATATGTGTGTATACATACATATATACAAAATGTCACAGAACACTTGCTTCTGTTCTCATGCAGGTTTTATTTCTTCATAGACAGAATTCTTTCCAGCATCCATTTAGTGGTTTAAACATCTGCTTACACATGAAATATATGTGGATATACATGTAGAACATACCAATATCTGTGCACAAATTTGTGGCCTTTCTCAAATGGTCTCTTATTTTCTGTGTGTTATTTTCACACTAAATACTGACCTCATACATATATTCAGGCTATGTACTGTGCTCCCCTACTACTTTCCTGCTTCCCAAGACCCTCTCAGGAGTTGCAGTATGACTAAGATCTCATGCAGTGATATTCAATATGTGTTTATACCCTTACATCAAAAGCTTAGAATTTTCTCTGGCTGGGGATTTCACATTCTAGACACTACAATCTCGTTATGTATCTGATATCAATATCATCTCAAATTACCCCTTCCACAAAAATCCATGAATTTCCTGATTCAGAGGAAAGCAGAAAAAAATAGAAAAATATTACTATTCTATTTCCCTAAAATCCTCTAGTTCTTCATTTAAAAATAAGTAAATAAACCTAGACTCTAAGCATCCAGAATATTTGAATGAATACTCCTCCACACACAGATACACACTCTTCCAAATATGTGTGTGTATATATATATATGAACCTATAGATACACATATATATGCCTATCTACATGTACACAGAGATATGTCTATCTATCTATCTCTATATATATACACACTCAGAGACATACAAATATATGGATATCTATTCTACCTATTATCTATCTCTCTATCCATCTATCATTTCTACAAGAATTAAGAATACAGTTAAGATTTTGGATACTACAGAGTTATTATCTAGGTGCCACTTCAATCTTGCTATAGCCAAATAACAATGTGTGATCAAAGAATGGATAATATTAAAAACTAAATCAAGGAACCAGAATTGACTGGAAAGGAAAACATTATAACTGTTGTTAAAATTCAGATTATTTTGAGTTCAGAAAAATTTCAAGTAAAACGTAGTCCAAATTTCTCTTATTTCAATATTTCAGAAGAAAATTAATTCACACAGCTCTTAAACACTAGGGTAGACCGAGCATTCTAATCTTTGTATTCTGAGCTCATTATTTTGCCACTCATTGAGTAAATTCACTACTCTTTCTAAAGGAGCAAAAAGCCTTGTAAAATTTCACTAAGAAGATTTAAGACTGATTCAGTCTTTTAACTAATGATATAAAAATATGGATTATTTTAAATGAACTGAATTGTCAATATTCTCTATAAACTCGTTCCCCAAAAGGCAGGATTTGACAGATTACTAAACAGTTGGTAAATGTAAAGATTCATATAATGTCAGAATATTAAATTTATTTGCTCCATACTGTAGAATTTAATTTTCTCCATACTATAAACTCACAGCTAAGAGTTTTAAGTAAAAATATAGGTATCCATCAATATTTATTGCATATAAATATAAATATAAATATATATATTTATTATAAATGAAGTCTTTTTCTTTTTAAAAAAGGAGACATTTTAATTGCAACTAAAAAGTACCACAAACAATCATGTATCTTAAATACTGAAACAAAACTTTGAATATAAAGTAATTCACAGGCCCACTTTGTATTGCTATAAATCTAAAGTAAAGGGATATACCTAAGAATATACCAGAAATATGCTTTCAGATTAAGGGAAAAAAAACCTCATTATTTTATTATTGAAGATCGATTTTGAATACAAATCATCAGTTATTGGTCTGTTTGATCTTGACTGAATTACTTATTATGTTTACCCCTTAGTAAAATAATAAGAAGTACTTGAAATCCTTTCATTCTACAAATGCAAATAAATAGATTACTCTTAATTGGTTAATTTTCTTTCCTCCATTTACCAACAAAAAAGAACTAAACTTGCTCATAAATGCATTCCTCTCCTACCTTGGTAATGGTTTCATGAAGGTTGAAAAAAGGATCCATTTCTTCAATTCTTGTTGCATGTATAGAGAAAATGGCCTCAGAGAGAAAACTTGGACCCTGTGGAAAATCAAAAAATAAACATTTAAAACTCTTCATTGATTTTGTTTTCTTCAAGTGCTTATTGGATTTTCTTTAAAGATTCAAAAGGACTCTAAATTGCTTTGAGGTTTCTGTTGGTTGTTCTACTAATTCTACTAATCTAACAAATCACAGAATATTTATAAATTAAAATGAGAAGAATTCTATAAGTCTTGACATTATTTGTATTTACAAAAGAATGTTTTATTATTCAGAAAAGATAATTATTTGCAGTCCCCTTTATTCAAATGCAGACTCATATGTAGAGTAAAATACCTTGACTATAAATCAGTATCTTAAACACTTTCTCTAATTTATATATTCAATTCTATGTTTTAAGGCTGATAGAATGGAATGTTTTTGATAAATATGATCACCAACTAGAGAAGCCTAGGTAAAAGTGTACATAACATATTAAATATTGCAAAACTCACTTCAAAACAATTCTAAGATATATTTTGAGTAGAAGAGTCTCATAGTTTTACATGCTGTCAATAAAATGGTAACATGTTGTATCAGGACCTTAGTGATAAGATGGTTGAAATGAATCAGAGATACTGCAATTAGTCATTTTTGTACATGCAGGGATGGACAAATTTCAGAATGGAAGAAGATATGAGAGAATGTTACTATCTGTTATGGTCTGAATATTTGTGACCTTCCAAAATTTGTACACCGAAATCCTCATCTCCAAAGTATTGGTATTGGGAGGTGGGACCTTTGGAAGGTGATTAGATCATGAGGGCTAATCCTCATAGTTGGGATTAGTACTCCTATGAAAGATGTTCCACAGAAAGAACTTTCTACCCTCTTCCCCTATATGAGAATATAACTAGTAGTCTGCAACCTGGAAGAGGGATCTAACAATGCTTGTACCCTGATCTTGGACCTCCAGACTCCAGAACTACAGGAAATAAATTTCTGTTGTTTAGAAGACCCTCAGTCTGTGATATTTTGTTATAGCAGCCCAAATGGACTAGGACACTATCTAAAACAATGCTCTTACAGTTATTGACATTATTAGCATCTCATGAAATTATTATTATTTACCATATAAATAGAGCTTACACTTGAAAACCTGAATTAATGAGGATTATTTGTCTAGAAAATAGAATACCTGGGACAGGATATGTGTTATTGATAGATATTTCTCTGAAGGCTACAATGGAGAAGAACGATTCAACCCAGTCTACACCAACAATGACTGCAACTGAATAACAAACTTAAGCTGAATTCTATTAGACTTATTAGAGCACTCCAACAGCAGAACAGACTACTTTGAGATACATCAATGGTGGGAAAAAAAAGATGATGTGTTGATAAACTCTAAAGTCTTACATATGAGAAATGAAATCAACATGATTACAGTTCCCTATATATTAAACAATATTGTGATCAGACATATTCTTCACACCCTATTTTGAACAACACTATGGTCAAACAAAAGTAAGTAACTCTTTGCTCCAGCATATAGCCACTTTGATAATAAGACCACATATCAACCAAATAGCTAGCCTATCAAAGATAACAGTTTATTCATTAAAACTTGTATGTTCCTCTTCTCATTTTGCCTACCAATCTAAAATTAATTTGCAGAAACTCTGCCCAGTTCCAACTAGTACTCTATTGTTAAAGATTTGCTATAAAACCACACCACCCAAGCTAAAATATCATAAATGCCCCTTTCCCCAATTTCCCCATTTTGAGAGACTACTGAGACTTGGTGTAATAGGTTGAATAATTCATGCTGAAATTCTAACCTTTAGTATCTCAGAATGTGACTTTTTTGGAAAGAGGTTGTTGCAGATTAACTATCTAGGTTAAAACAAGGTCTTACTGGAGTAGAATGGGTTCCTGGTACAATACGACTTGTGTCCTTATAAAAGGAGGAAATTTGGAGTTGGATGTACACACAGGGAGAAAAATCATATGAACACTAAGGCAGAGATTGGAGTAATGGGTTTACCAGCCAAGGAACTCTAAAGATTGCTAAAAACCACCAGAAGCTAGGCAAAAAAAGGCTTGGGACAGATTTTTTGTCACAGACCTCAGAAGGAACTAACATTTAAGTCATTCAATATGTGGTGCTTTGTTATATCTGTCCTAAGAAACTAAAACAGTCAATGTGGTACACTTCTTACTGCATAAGTCTAATAAATCTCATTTTGTTTATCAGTGGGGTTTTTAGAGGTATATCAAGCAGTCAACATAGAAACATGTAAAAATTTCGTTTTCAATTGTGTTCTTTGAAGCATCTTAATCTCCAAAGATTAGTTAGCCTTCTAAAATCTTAGATAATAACATACTTCACAGAGATGTTATGAACTCTCTAATATCTGCTACATAGAAGATACTATGTTAATGGCATTGAAGATGTTGCTAAAATCAATAAATATCATAATGATGAAGGTGAGGGTGGTGGGAGGGGGTGATTACCATAGGATGCTGAACTAAAGGAAATTCAAAGACCCCCATCTAGGATTCCATGAAAAACAGTGCACAGTTCCAGGATTAAAAATGGCAGCATGAGAAGAGAGACAGAGGTTTCCTCCTAAAACTGGATACAATTAGAAAATTTAATTGGTGGAACTAATCCTTAGAGAGCAACAGGAAATAGGACGGGTCAGACTGCACACACCTGGAGAAAAGAGCAGACCTCAGCAAACGGGGTAACGTACCAGAGCTGTGACTCCGCACGACCCGAGCCCCTCCCCGACCCCAGCTCACTGGCAGGAGGAAGACAAATGGACGGGGGAGGGAGTGGAGGGCCTGGGACTGCTGAATACCTAGCTCTGGATATCTGCGCTGGGAGCACAAACCTACATTTCATGGTGCTTTCATGAGACTCGCATGACTACCAGGTTGGAAAATTAATACAGGAAGAGTTCCTGGGGAGACTGGGATTCCGGCTGCTTTTGGAAAGCAGGGATCCATATCTGGCAGCTCTGGGACATAAACTTACACCTGTGTACCCGGCCCACTGGCTCAGGCAGTGGAGACAGGCACAGGAGCCAGGAGGCAGGGAAAAGCTATTTCCTCCCCCAGTACTGCTCCCCTGCAACCACTGACATTGCTTCAGGGGCTCAGCAGCTCCAGAATAGAGCTTCTGGACACAAGAGGGCACCATATACAAACATGAAACACCACAGGAACCTTGTCCAGAGTAAAATCGTTAATACAACTCCCGATAAAGATTTAAATGATATGGACCTGGTGACTCTTCCTGAAAGGGAGTTCAAAATAAAAATAATCAACATCCTAATGGAGGTACGGAAAGACATCCAAGAACTCAGGAATGAATTCAGGTCAGAGATCCAATCCAATCATTAAAGAACACGATGGAGGGTATTAAAAGCAGGTTGGATATGGTGGAGGAGACAATAAATGAAATAGAAACTAGAGAAGAGGAATACAAAGAAGCTGAGGCACAGAGAGAAAAAAGGATCTCTAAAAATGAAAGAATATTGACAGAACTGTGTGATCAATCCAAGC